ATACATAGCGATACGATGTTCATAATTTCAATATGTTGCATCACATATTCTTAGGGTAGAGCTTATAACTCAACATAATATTACATACCAACTTAATACAATAATTAATGCAAGAATTAAAATAATAAGTAAATTAAGTTAATAGACTAGTTAGAATATAATGCAGTACTTAGGGTGCAAATATTGTATATTGTAATTATAATGAAATATGATACAATGCTAATAGTTTGATACAATAGTTATTACAATGCTCGATACAATATTTTTGATATATAACCAGATTAGAATACTTAATATGTAGCTTGTAATTCAGTAAGATAGTAATACCATATCTATAGTTTGAGGTTGCGAGTATAATACTTATTGTGCAATATCTTATAGTGCATTTAAAATACAATACAATTTTTAATAATATTTGTAACAATACTGGGACTATTAAAAAGAAAGAATATAGTTATAATATGTAAATAGACAAGAATGCAACTGGAGTGTACAAAAATACAATTGTATTATGAAAACACTATGTAAACAGACAAGAATGCAACTGGAGTGTACAAGAATACAGTTGTATTATGAAAACAGGACAAAACCATTAACATTAGACAACCTGACATAGATCAGATCCATAACTGTGGAGAATGTCCATAATTTTTGAGAGTTTTCTGATAAGGTACTTCTGCTTAATTAAAAATTTACTAAATGCTAGTTGATTATCCACAGGGAAAGGAATGTGAAATTCCTCCGTTAACGGGCATGTAGTAATATAATGTTCAGGTATGCCTAGAGTTCCGCAGACACAATATTCACTATTTGCAATTCCATGCTTGTAAAAGTAGCTTGGAAATGGACCATGCCCCGAGATATATCTTACTAGTTGATGATTTGTTATCTGACGACATTGATCCACATACGTAATATGATTGTACGTTCGTCGACCGGTTTCATCAGTATCCCATTCTAGTTGCCATTGGGATATAACTTTTAAAAGAAGAGCTCGTTTTAAGTGAGATGTTGGCCACTTAAGAATCACTTCTTCAGCCTCGGCATCGGTATTTTCGGCAGCTGATTTGGCTAACTTATCTGCCAAAGTATTACCGTGATCCCCAGCATGGCCCTTAGTCCAAGCTAGCGTGATGTTATTTCCCACTTGATTACGAAGTTCACATTGGATGTCCGAGATAAGCGAAGAAGAATGTCTGGGGTTTTGAATCGCTTGAAGCGACGAAAGACTATCAGTGATAATTATTGCCTCCATAGCACCACTTGTTTTACAGTGTTGAACTGCTTTGAGGATGGCTAGGGCCTCCGCTTGAAATACACTATTATTTCCATGGAGATGACCCAGCCACTGATAAATTGACTGACCATTATGAAAGGCTACAAGGGCACAGCCTGTCTGTTGATCTATTTTAGATCCATCAGTGTAATATTGAATGCTTGGGATAGGTGGCAGTGTTACGTCCTTTAAGGAAAATCCGAAGTCCTGTTCCTTGAAGGACTGGATGCACATCCAAATGTTGTGAGGGTTGTTCATAGTGCAATGGTGTGAAAAGTTCATCAAATAGGATGAAAGGTTTTTTTCAAAACCTTGACGGATTGTATTGCTGCTTCCTGCAGAATACGTAGATGAAGAGGGATCAGTCCCGCCATGACATTTAATGCACTGGATGAGGTAGTACGAAACGCCCTAGTTATCTGTAAGGCAAATTGACGCTGGAGACTTTGCAAGTGGCGCACTTTGCGACCCTGCATGGGTTCAGCCCATATAGCAGCCGCATAGGTGACCATTCTCTCGATAACGGTGAGATAAAGAACCTTTTGTATATAGGGACTAATTCCCCATCCACGACCCTGCATTTGACGCAATTTACATGCAATTATAACAGTTCGTCTCTTTAGTTCCAAAACATGCGGCATCCAGTTCAGTTTCTCGTCAAAGATAACGCCGAGAAATTTGAGCTGCGGTTTGATAGGTATACGTGTACCATGAATGGTGATTCGAGACCGTCGAACCAAAGATCCTTTTAGGGATTAATAAAAGATCTTTTTTAGGGATTAATAAAATTTGCGATTTTTGTTCGGAAATTGTTAATTTAATTCTAGAACATAAGTTATAAAAGAGATCACAGGTTTCAATAGCATTTCTTTGCAACTCTTCTCGAGTTCGTCCTTGAATGATAAAAACTGTATCATCTGCATGCGCATATGCCCGGGTATGTGCTGGCCAGTTTGCGGCAATAACAGAATTAAATGTTATATTCCATAAATCAGGGCCAGCACAAGAACCCTGCGGACAGCCTCTGTTTTGTTGTCTTGTAATAATAATGCCATGATTAGTGGAGTAGATAATTTTTCTTTCCGACAAGTAACTTTGAAATGCAAGAAATAAATTCTGAGGACAATCAGCTTGTCGAAGTGCCTCCAGTATTGCAGGCCACCACAGTGAGTCAAAAGCATTCTTAAGATCTATACTCATGAAAGCACTGTGGTGACCATTGTTGCGATTACGATGTATATCTTCTGTAATTTTTGATAATACTTGTAGGGTAGACCTACCTGGTCTAAAGCCATATTGGTGATCACTTAAAAAGTGAATTTTGTGAAGATAATGTTTTAAACGGTAGACAATAATTCTTTCATAAACATAAAAGCATATAAAAGCAGATAATAGACATATACGTCGATAAGATGTGGATAATTGCGGATCTTTGCCTTTTTTGAGAAAAAGAACCACTCTTCCAGCTTTGACGATACGAGGAAATACACCATTAAGAAATAACTTATTAAAATAATCACAGAAGAAGAAGATGTGGGAATTAATGATTACACGAATTATAGAATAGTCAATCCCGTCGGGGCCTGGGGCCCGTTTTTTTTGGAATACTTCGAAGAGTGGTTTTAATTTCTGTAATTGTAATCTGTGGATCATCCTCTGTGTTAGGAATAGAAGTTTGCTGCCTAATTGACAAGTGCTCTGGGGAGTCATCTGTAATATCATCCTGAGGAAGAACTGATGCTAGAATATCATTAATAGTATTTTCTATTGGGCTAGACCCAGCAAGTGATGATTCTGAAAGATACGTTGATGCAGGCTGGAAAAGCTTATCTCGAGCGATCTTATAGGGTAAGCCAAATATTTCTCTATTTGATGTGCAGTATTTTCTCCAAGCTTCTATTTTGCTCTGCATAATCATCCGTTTATACAGAGCACGCTCTCTTTGAAAAACTTGAAGAGTATTAGATGTTATTCCATTGCGTCGTTCAGATTTTAATCGTCGCCTAAGCGCACGACACTTCCGCTGCTGTATGCGAAGATCAGAGTTCCACCAATGTAAAGTATGGAGCTGCTTGGTAGTTCGCTTTGGAAGTATTTCGTGACAAATATCTTGAAGATTTTGCATTAAGGACTCTGAAAAACGTTCAATATCTTCAGATATGGTTAAAGAGTTGATTTGGTGACGAAGACGATTAAGAGTTCCACGAACTTTTCGACTAAACTGATTAATTTTCCTGCCAGGAAGATTATAACGAGGTAAGATAGGTAAAGAACTATGTTGTGTTACTTCAAAAGTGATATATTTATGGTCAGATAATGAAATCTCATCTCTGACCGTCCAATTACTTGTTAAGTGAGAGGTATTGGCGGATGTAAAGGTCAGGTCCGGCCAACCCACAGCATATAGTCTGTCGAAAGTAGGAATTGTATTCGTGGCATTGAGTAATACATAATTTTTAGAAGATAAGAAGTCTTCTAACAGACGGCCTTTGGGGTCTGTTGTTCGATAGCCCCAAGCAACAGAGTGAGCGTTAAAATCGCCGCTGATAATCTGATGTTTATTACCAAGAACTCTTGTATAGTGTTCCAGGAAAGAGATTGTAGTGCTGATATCATCTGAGGGACTGGAGTAGATCGAAAATAATGCTATAGTAAAATTTTCTAATTCTAATAAAAGTGCTACTTGATCTTTAGTAATAGTAATAATTGATGGAGAGAATTGAGGGTTACAATTAATTATTGCTGAGCGTGGAGGATCTTCTGAATTTTCTTGATGATATACAGTCCATAATAAAGGAAAACCAACCACTTTGCCATGTCTAGTATATGGCTCTTGAACGAGAAGAAAATCAATTTTGTTGCTTAACGCAAACTCTATTGCCTGGGCAGTTGCAACTTGAGCTTTCTGAAGATTAATTTGCAAGAATTTGATGTTAGGAACAGAATTACATGAAACATTATACTGGGCATCTCTACTCATAGGTGGTGATGCTTCGGATTCTGTCAATATTACTTTGGTAGCAGTAACAGGTGTTGGAGTTTGCTGCGTGGTCAATCGGGACTTGATATCTGCTGCCGTTGTTATAATCGATGCAATTGATGCATGCTGCTGTATCGGCATCGGCCGAACAGTCCTTGGTATCGTGTTGTCCAGCACACAATGCGCAATAGTGGACGCTGCGGCAGTCTTTTTGCAGGTGCGCAAAACGTTGGCACTTGAAACATCTTTTGACATTAAAGTGCTCAGTGATAAGGTGGCCTTGCCAGCCGATGTAGATGCGAGGGTTGCACATGAAGGTTTGATATGCCCTTGGGCTGCACTCGGCAACCCACTTGACATTGCGTCGCTGCTTTAGACGAAATATAAGTTTAACTTCGTCATCCTGTGTCAGATCTGGGGATAAATTATGAATTGCAATAAGGGTTTTTTTTGTTGTGGGATTCTTTACGTTAACAAATGTAGCTGCGTGATCAGACGTTAAAGTAGCTGCTAATTTTTTCCGATCTTCTTCCGACTGGCAGACCACCGCCAATCCACCCCGTTGGATAGGTTTGATCCGTTTAACTTGGACTCCAAATTTCGGCAAAGGAAATTCCTGGGAAAGTTTATCTCTAAGCTTCCTGCTAGTTGTGTTCTCTTTTGGATATATTAGTAAAGTAGGTGTAAGAGCTGGCGGAAGGGATTGCTGTAATGCAGATGCGTAAGAGTGTCCAGGAGCTGGAGAAGGCAAAGCAGAGGGATTTGGAACTAAAGGAACTTGCTGCAGAGATGAAATAATAGGTGGGTTATGAATAACTTCACAGCAGACCACTGTTGATGTATTCACCTCAGCCTCAACTGTGGCTGGTTTCGGGCACAGTTTCAATAAAATGACGGGTGCGGCTGGACTCCGACATTGGGATGGGGTGTTCCGTGAGCCCCTGGCGTTCCTTGGCGCTGAACTCTGATGGGCGCACTGATAGATGTCATTTCTAATAACAGCTAGGCTCACCAGTATCTCCAACACCAATCGTACTACAGAGGTGCAGACCTAACTTCATGTTACGTTATATATGACTCATAAAATAGTATAAGAATACATAGAAGGCTCAGCTATGCTTAGCATTACCTCAATCACCAATGGTACTACAGAGGTGCTGATCTAACTTCATGTTATGTTATATGTGACTCATAAAATAATATAAGAATACACAAAAATGAGAAAAATACAGAAGAATATAGTGTTAATAAGAAAAGAGAAAACAAACTTTCGGTTTAATATTGAAATTGATGACGTCAAGCTCTTTCTGCATGAAGTCACATAAATATTCGAAACCTCCTTTGGCACTGCTTGAAATCGTAAGGTGATATGCTATTAACTTTACAGAAAATGGTTTAATTAATATAATTTGATAGCTTCCATTTTAAAAAAAAAGTAAAACGTCGATGTTTTCTATCTCTGAAATGTTTCAAAACATTGTTATCCTTGAAATGTCGGTATTAAGAAAAAAAGTGACAGAATAGTAGGTTGGTTTTGCAGAAATTACTCGTAATCAGCTCTCCTGAGAGATTCGAAATGGAAGATTATTGTTCATGTTGCCCTAAGCTGCCAAAATTCACGTTTTATGAGATCTAGTTCAGTATTTAAGCTATTATGTTCCTGAAAATTTGTTAAATTAGTTCTAGTTGCCATGAACAAATTTTGCTTCTTTTTTTATTTCTACCAAAAAAGAAGCAAAATTTGTTCATGGAAATTCATATTTTTCTACGAACTTAAGTCCCTAGTGTTCAGCTTTGGGAGAAAAAGATTATAAAATACATTCAAATTAAATAACAATCTGAACTAAGGTAACACTTTGTTTATGTTACTTAATTGTAAGCATCTGTTTAATTTAACGGCTAATCTCTGCCTTCGTGTAGACAGTCAGGTGACATATTTCCCGGATTTAATCTTACGGGGAAATAACGCAGTACATGAAACAAGGTTTAAAAGAAACCTCCGTTGCTTCCGTGATTAACAAAACGAAAGTGTTAAAATATAATTTAATATTATATTCCCAAACCTAAATTTGGCCAAATTTTCTCTGTGGTCTTCGACCCAAGCGAGCAAATATGGCTAACAAAGGCTGAAGCCAGTTAAAGTAAATTTGGAAACTGGACGATAAAATGATTGCGGAGGTCAAATATCGCTGTCAAAAGCTCATTACTAAATACAAAATCTCTATACTTATATGCACCCACGTGGACGCCAAAGAAGTTAGAAGTTATACAGGGTGTT